AAAATGTATTTATCAGTGTTCATAGACCCGTTGGGACCCAGGTAGCACTATAAATTGATTATATATATATACATATCTAAGGAAATCGATCTCTCTCTTCGTTTTCTTTTAATCCAAAACTTTAGGAACTCGATATATCTTTTCTCTGCGTTTTCTTTTACTCCAAAACTTTAGGAACTCGATATATCTTTTCTCTGCGTTTTCTTTTACTCCAAAACTTTAGGAACTCGATATATCTTCTCTCTTCGTCCGATTGCTGGTGACTTTTCTATCAGCTGTCTTGTGCCAGGTATTACATTCCGGAGCAGTGTGCAAACTCACTGCTGCTCAGCCGAGCTTGCAAAGATTCGTTGAAGTCTGACAAGTTCTGGGCTTTGAAACAATCTCGAATCTTGCATCTCCTCCGGCAACCGAGCAGAGTGCATTACTTTGGTTGTGTATGCTTCCAGGTGAGGTATTACCGGGTACGGTGGTACACTCAGCTGGCCAACTGCGGATGCCAGAAAGCTGAGACTTACTGGTATTACCTCTCTCGATACTCGGCCTTTTTGATGCCGACATTCTTGACTTGGTCGTTCCACATTCCTTCCTGTTCGCTCCATCGCCCCTCGGTCATTCCAGTATGGAGCGGAATGCTTTGGTAGAGATCCCACTTCTCAGTATTGTCGATGAGGTATAGTAAAATCTCTGCTATGGAGAAAATCCTCCAGACCATGATAGGTTTTGCTCAAAAGAGGGGTAGTACAGATGACTCCAGACTGTTCGTAATTGGTAGTATGCTCTTCCTCTCTACTTTCAGCCAGCTTGCCATCACAGCAACATCTGGGCGAACGGTTGTCGTTCCAAGTCCCACCAACTTGGCAGCCCTTCTCAATAATGACCACGTCCTGGCAAACGTTCCGGCGGATCAACCCTATCGTAGTACTGAGGCCCGCGCATTTCAAGGTCAAGAGACCGTCTGCTCGTGAACGTAGTCCCCTAGCTTTTAAAAGACCATACGATCGAGTACGTCATGGAGGACGCGCGTGAGTTCTACTTCGACAGGGCGGTGGCGGGGAGGGAGAACATATTGATTATTTTGCAGAAGTTTGCGAAGCCGGGACATGGAGTAATTGTCCGCAAGTAAAGCCGGGGTTCTTGAATTATCATAAGGATGGGGTTGGATGCCTTTTCGTTCCAGGTGAACACGTTGGAGGAGCTGTAACCAAGGTAATGAGTATACTTTGTTTCCGATCCTGGCAAAGTTGAAGGGGGAAATGATCTAGTAGGAAGTAATCAGCTTCAAGTACTTGGTTTGCAACATGACCAATCTTTTGGTATTGCATGATGATTGTGATGTGAGGAAGAAGTCAACCTCTCGACTCCTCGTCCTTATGATCCGTACCTATACCTAAGGTAGGTGATTCAGGAGCCTCAACCGTCGACATTAGCAATCATGTCGAGCTTCTAAGTTACTGCACGCAAGAAAAGTGACAAAAGTGAGACTTTTATTCTACCACTGCCATAGAATGCGCTTGTTTCCATGTGTCGTCGGGATGGAATTTTGAAGTTCCCACTCCGCCAACTCCGCGACCCCTCCACCAACCAAAAATCGCACCCACGCATCCGCAACGGGCATCTCCAATCCCTCCAACACCGACCAAAAAAGCCCTTTCCATCCCTAACCACCAAAAAGATCAAAAAGAAAGCCAAAAAGGGAATTTAGTCCTGGTGGGGGTCGAACCCACGACTTTCGCATAACCTTCAAGGCCATAATTCTTCTCGGGGAGAAAAGCATTATAAGAACGACACGCTAGCCACTGCGTCACAGGACTATTCGGAGACAAATCGGGGTTAAGGAGATTTAATACGTTTATATACTCACCAAGAATGTAGTGCCAAGAAGTGGGGGAAAAAGGGAGCTGGGGAGCGAAAGAGAAGAGCGGTGATTGGCGGGCTTTGGCGAGATCACGTGGGAGACTGGAAATGTGACTCCGTTGACAACTGCAACGGTTGAGCCGGTATTCTTTGGTTCAGGCAACTGGATATTCCTGGCCAGATATCAAATTTTGAATATCTCGGGCAGGAAAGAGAGTACAGGGAATTAGGTAGGTATATCTTTCATGCAGATTCCGGGTTCAACTTTTGACAGGAACTACAGCTCCACAAGCAGACTACATACAGGTAGCTTGATAGCTCAGATTCTAGGTAGACTGTCGGCGGCAGGAATGTTCTGTAGCTTTCGGAGACTCAGGGGTATTCATAAAAGCTACCTACCTTAGGTTGGACGAACAGGTGCTGTGGACGCTGTTTTGTGTGGTTTGTCTTTTCAGAGCGCACACCACCATGAAGTAGCAGCGAGACCCTTGGGACTGTTGTGCTGGATTCAAAGGTTTGTTTGTGAAGTTTTAGTCTTCAAATGTGCTGGCTGCCCTGGTGTCCAATCAAACCGAAATCTATGGCATTTGAGCTCAAGGAGGTTTTATCGAAAATAGAGGCCGTAGTACTTCCCCGATGTCTTACCCCTTCACCAACGTGAAATATCCTCGAGGACTCCGGCGACATCCAAATGGCTCGTACAATTTTCCTTTTCAGCTTCAAGGTGCGGTTAAAGCCATGTTCAACGACCGGCGGTGCCTTCCTGAAGCACTCTGATCGAGTATAAGACTGGTAAGCTTGCACAGGGCAGAGAACTAGGGGACTACGTCGGATAATGCTGGCCCTTTCACTCTGATCCATCAGCTAGGAGCTGAACAGCATGTCTGGGTTCTCGGAAGAAATTTCGAAGATGTCCACACACGAAGGAAGACCAAACACAGAGGATGATCGAGTTAGACTCCAATGTTCATGCAATCATTGAGATCTCTACACATGTTATTGTACACTCCCTCCCAAATCCATTTTATGCCTTCCAGATCCTTTTGACAGCTTCCGTGACACCTGTAAGTCATGACAATTAGTATATGTTTCCGTTTCCTCGTGTCCGCAATACTCACCAACATCATGTGTCTCAAATTCGTAAAGTCCCACACCGACGGTAACGGTGGCTATCCTCAGAATCCACATCAAAGCGGTGCGCAGGCCAGGCACACGATAGTCTGGGAAGTAATCGATGATGCATGCTTCGAAGCCAATGTGCGAGTGGACGATGAGCAAGCTGCAGAGCGTCGCATCCATGACGGGATTGAGGCTACCAGCGACGAACGGGGCGATGGTGAGAGGGACGAGCCCGCCGGCGATCAATCTTGTAAGGAGAGGTCAGCTTGAAGTACTACTATAGTACACAAATCCTACTCGGAGCAGTGCAATTGCCCTCGTACGTGTTTTGAGGTGGGGAGAATGTGGGGTCTACGTACCGCTCAAAAGTCCAGTGGTAGGAGCCATGGGTAGGATGAGGCGAGGGAACGGGAACTGGGTCATTGGCTTCGGCCAGTGTAAGCAATTGGGCGTATGGCTTCGTTATGGGATTCCTTTACCTGTCCCTTTGACCACCTCTATATGACGTTAGCATCAAATCCCGCAATCGACAACAATTGGAGTTCTTACGAGGAAGCGGAGGCAAGATCTTTTGGCTGCCAGAAGCGTGGAAAGCGGCAGCTTTGGGCAGCGCATCGCGCAGAAGGGCAGCCTTGAGTGGTCGTCTCGCCAAAGGCTTTGCGGTTGTGAATGCGGAGGTCATGAGAGGTGCCGAGGGAGTCGTGGAGAACATGCGCCTGCCAGCGGCGGCCTGGCAAGCCCGGTGGAAGATCGTGGGACGAGCAATTGCTGCCATGATGACTTGTCTGAACAGCAATGGGGGAGGAGTGGAGAGGTCGTCTGAGCAAGTGGAGTCCTTGGAACGTGTACTGGATTCAGCGAGGTCGCGATGCTGGTAATCGACCTCGGTCTATTGGCCCGTCGGGCCCGCGAATCCCCGACAGCTTTCAGACTGGGCGTGATTTGGAGCACGATCACGTGATGACGCCAAATCTCAACTTCGCAGAAGTCGGCTCGCCGGTACCTCCAAGAGCTCCCACATCACCTCCCGTCATCCCCATACTCCCCCGATCGACACCCCATCTCCGCAATGGCTTCGCGGAGGCTCGCTCTCAATCTTCAGCAGGCCACCCGCGCCAAAACCGCCTTGCGGTCGCTGCAGCCCCGGAGCAACCTCACCAGAGGCCTTGCTACGCCGGTCAGCCATGGAACCAACACCGAGACGACGACGTTGAGCAATGGCTTCACCGTAAGCATACCCTGAGCTGCTGCCTGGTGCTTGAGCTAATGAATGCCGTAGATCGCGACGGAGCACTCGCCTTGGGCCCAAACCTCGACCGTTGGTGTATGGATAGACGCCGGAAGCCGCGCAGAGACGGACAAGACCAATGGCACCGCACACTTCTTGGAGCATCTCGCTTTCAAGGTACGACATGGAGCAGCTATCGAAGAATGGAAATATTGACGTGGTGATGTCCAGGGCACCGGCAAGCGAAGCCAACAGCAGCTCGAACTCGAGATTGAGAACATGGGCGGCCATCTCAACGCCTACACTTCGGTACATTTCTCCGCTCTACGCGGACATCGGATCCTCTGACTGACCGTTTCTAGCGCGAAAATACCGTCTACTACGCCAAATCTTTCAACTCCGACGTCCCCGCCACCGTCGACATTCTTTCCGACATTCTCCAGAACAGCAAGCTCGAGCCCTCCGCCATCGAACGCGAACGTGATGTTATTCTCCGCGAGCAGGAGGAGGTTGACAAGCAGCTTGAGGAAGTCGTTTTCGACCACCTCCATGCCACAGCCTACCAACAGCAACCGCTCGGACGAACAATCCTTGGCCCTAAGCAGAACATACAATCGATCAGCCGTGATGACCTTGAAAACTACATCAAGACCAACTACACTGCTGACCGTATGGTTTTGGTTGGTGCTGGTGGCGTTCCTCACGCGCAGCTCGTCGATCTCGCCGAGAAATATTTCTCGAAGATACCCGCCGAGCCACACACCCCAGCTTCCGTCGCCATTGCGGCTGCTCAGAAACAAAAGCCCGACTTCGTCGGCTCTGAAGTCCGTATTCGCGATGATACTATGCACACTGCCAATATTGCCATCGCCGTCGAGGGTGTCAGCTGGAAGGACCCGGACTACTTCACTGCACTTGTCACACAGGCAATCGTTGGCAACTGGGACCGCTCCATGGGTACATCGCCGTATACTGGAAGCAAGCTGAGCACTTTTGTCCACCAGCACAACCTTGCCAACAGTTTCATGAGCTTCTCCACTAGCTACAGCGACACTGGGTGAGTCAATATTGGAAGGGGAAGGACTTTTCGGAATGCAACAACTGACACGCTCTATAGCCTCTGGGGCATCTATCTCGTCACCGAAGCCTTTACGCGTATCGACGATCTTGTCCACTTCTCCCTTCGCGAATGGACTCGCCTGTCCTACAATGTCACATCAGCTGAAACCGAGCGTGCAAAGGCTCAGTTGAAGGCCTCGATCCTGCTCTCCCTCGATGGCACCACCGCAGTCGCGGAAGACATTGGTCGCCAAATCATTACCACGGGCCGTAGGCTGACTCCTGAGGAGGTTGAGAGGGTTGTCGGCAGCATCACCGAAAAGGACGTCATGGATTTCTCCAGGAGGAAGATTTGGGACAAGGACATTGCAATCAGCGCAGTGGGCAGGATTGAGGGTCTGTTCGATTACAACAGGATCAGGAGCGACATGAGCAGGAATGCGTCCTAAATAGGGGCAATGGAAAAGTTGAGGCAAGAGTAGATTTGGTTGGTCGGTCGGTAGGTCGGCTCTGTACACTTACAATCTTTTTGCACCGACGAGGGAAGGTGATTTTTCTTGCGTTTCAAAAAGAGATACTGTATAGACGCCCGTCTCTTATTACCCTCCGGTCTGGGTCATATGCAGGTGACATTGTCTACGTTGAGTTGCGGTCCTTGCCCTTGGAGGATCCATCATGAAGTTTCGAAGTCGCTAGGGGCTAGCATCCACATCACAGTCTCACCTGGCTGCCATACTTTTGATATCAGGTTCAAGTCCAGTGTTTCCCCGTCCTTACTCCGTCCTTTCCTCGCCGACTCAGTCTCCTTCCTGAGGCTCATTTCCCACTCTGCTCCAACAGCCATCGTACACCCTTCCGCGTATCATTGATGAACTCCTTCCCCCTTGCCAGCGCCGGGAAGTTCGTCCAGAAATAATGCCCATGTCCGGCATACATGTCAACCTTGACTTTCACAGAGTTGTCCTTCAACTCCTTTTCATAGATCAACGCTTCATCTCTCAAAGGATCCATACCGCCAACCTGCATATACGTGGGCGGCAAACTCCCGTGCCCCTTTTCATGGTTGAGTACGTTGTACCACCAAGAACCCTCATCCGGCTTGTACGTATCCTCGATCATGGTACTCCGGCCCAGATCCTTTAAGATGGGATCATCCACGCTTTCTTGCCGGGACCTGTAGTGCGCTTTCCACTTCTCTGGCACTGCATGTGGAGAGAGGAGAGCGGGTACACAGAGATAATTCCCGGTCAGGGGAGGAGAAAGTGAGAAATCCCTCGCGGCATGTGCGAGGACAGCGGCGATGTTCCCGCCGGCAGAGCCGCCGCCTACGATGAAGCCGATTGAGGGGTCTGCGCCTAGCTCTGAGGCGTGGGATCCTATCCATTGAAGGGCATCCCAGCTGTCGTCGATTGGGATTGGGAATGTGTGCTCCGGGGCCAGTCTACTATGGTGAGCTTTTTGGGAGAATAGAAGGTCACACTGGCTGGAAATGTTGGGAATCTCCAAGTTTACCTACCTGTATTCGACGTTCACGCAAATAGCATCCAAGTC